CCAGGCCCCGCCTTCCCAGCACCAGGCCCCGCCCCCAGCATCAGGCTCCGCCCACCCAACACCAGGCTCCGCCCCTAGCACCAGGCCCCGCCCTCCAGCACCAGGCCACGCCCCCAGAGCCTGACCCTCTTCCTTCTCCACCCACTCTTGATTTTTGACTCATTTTCCTTACACTTCACTTTCTTCCTCCCTCCGCTGCTTCCTCCCTTTCCACCTCATCGTTCCCTCGCCCTTCTGTCCCCCCCGAAACGGCAACAGAAAAAGAGCATGTGACGTAGCAGCCCCGTAACTTGGGCCCCAGGGACACCGGGCAGTGGTGTCAGATCGATCGGCCACACTTTGCCGGCCGGCGACTGCCGGTAAATGTAGGTTCCATGTCATATAAAAACGGAAGGTGCTCCTAGTCCATGGTGAGTCCTCCGGGGCCTGGGCTCCCATCCCAGCGGACTCACGGCCCCCATAGCTGCCTGCGCTCTGGCTCCTCCCCATTCGCCTCCCCGGGTGACCGTGTCGCAGCTCCAGCACTTTAGAGCCGCCCGCTGGCGTGGGACCCACCACGTTGGAGAAACGGGCCCAGAGGCGTTCGGTGACTGCGGTGGCGCTGAGTCCAGCCCCTCGGTCCCACCTCCCTCAGGACGGCCCTGTGCTTCCGTTCCAGCGTTCCCGACGGCCGTGCTGGCCCCATCCGCCATCCTGCAGCCCCCGCCCAACATGCTGCTGCTGCCCGCGGCCGCGGCCGGCCCTTTTTTCCCTCCTGGGGCTCCCGGGCCCCCAGCGGGAGGCCGGACCACCTGCCCGCCCGCTCACACCTCCTCACTACCAGCAGCCTCCCCTTCTGTCCTGGCGAGGCTGCCGTCCACCCCGATGGCTACCCCAGTGCCTAGCGTCCCCCTGTTGGGGACCTTCAGACCTTCCACACAACCGCAGGAGGAGGGGGTTACCCCTTCCTTGCCCAGGAGCCCCACGGCCCCACAGCCCATACCGGGGCCCTCTGCCTGCTGGCACCTGGGAGCCATGCACGAGTCAGGGAGCCACTGGACAGAGCCCGGGTGTTCCCAGTGCTGGTGCGAGGTGGGTGAGAGTCCTCGGGCTGCCCCGGTCGGGTGCAGGGTCTTTTGGTGACCGGAGCTCCCGCTTCCAGGACGGGCAGGTGACCTGTGAGGAGGCGACGTGTGAAGCTGCTTGTTCCCACCCGATCCCCTCCGGAGACGGGGGGTGCTGTCCGTCCTGTACAGGTGGGAGCTGGTCCAGGGAGGCTGTGGGTTCCCCGTGTGGTCGCGCCTCTTCCCTCCCCCAGCCCTTCTGCAGCCGATAGGCTGCTCTCAGACCTTAGGATCACCTGAAGGGGGGCCCCTGGACCCCACCCTAGAACTTCCCATTGAGCACGTGTGGGGCCAGGAATCAGCATTCCTACCAAGTTCCCAGGTAATGCTGCTGGTCCAGGGACCACAGTCAGAACCTCTGGTCTAGGCTGTGATATCCCTCAAGGGGGACTTTTCATCTTCTGGGATCCCTCTGAGCTTCATCCCTCCATCCATCCATCCATCCATTCATCCACCCACCCATCCATCCACTCATCTATCCATCCATCCATCCATCCACCCACCCATCCATCCACTCATCAATCCATCCATCCATTCATCCACCCATCCATCCATTCATCCATCTGTTCACCCGTCCACCCATCCATCCATCATCCATCCATTCATCCACCCACCCATCCATCCACTCATCCATCTGTTCATCCGTCCACCCATCCATCCATCATCCATCCATTCATCTATCCATCCATCCATCCATGCATGCATCCATCCATCCATTCATCCACCCATACGTCATCCACCCATACGTCATCCATCCATCTGTCATCCATCCATCCATGCATCCATTCATCCATCCGTCATCCATCTATCCATTCATTCCATCCATCCATTCATCCACCCGTCCATCCATCCATTCATCCATCCATCATGCATCCATCCATTCATTCATCCATTCATTCGTCATCCATCCACCCATGCATGCATCCATCCATCCATCCATTCATCCATAATCTATCCATCCATCCATTCATTCATCCATCCATTATCCATCATCCATCCATCCATCCATTCATCCATCATCCATCCATTCATCCATTCATTCGTCCATCCATTGATCCACCCATACGTCATCTATCCATCCGTCATCCATCTATCCATTCATTCCATCCATCCATTCATCCACCCATTCATTCAGCCATTCATCCAGCCATCCATCCATTCATACATCTATCCATCCATCCATCCATACACCCATTCATTCATCCACCCATTCATTCATCCATCCATCCGTCATCCATCTATCCATTCATTCCATCCATCCATTCATCCACCCATCCATCCATTCATCCATCCATCCATCCACCCATTCATTCATCCATCTATCCATCCGTCATCCATCTATCCATTCATTCCATCCATCATCCCCCCATCCACCCATCCTTCCATCCATCCATCCATCCCCCCGTTCATCCACCCATTCATTCATCCAGCCATTCATTCATCCATCCATCCATCCATTCATCCATCATCCATCCATTCATCCACCCATACGTCATCTATCCATCCATCATCCATCTATCCATTCATTCCATCCATCCATTCATCCACCCATCCATCCATTCATCCATCCATCCATCCACCCATTCATTCATCCATCCATCCATCCGTCATCCATCTATCCATTCATTCCATCCATCCATTCATCCACTCATCCATCCACCCATTCATTCATCCAGCCATTCATTCATCCATCGATCCATCCATTCATACATCTATCCATCCATCCATCTATCCATCCACCCATTCATTCATACATCCATTCCATGAGTCTCTCTGCATGCACAGTGCAGTCCCTTTCCCTTGCCCCATCCTGTAGCCAGCGGAGTAGCCCTTTTTAAATTGCACCCCTTCCGGTTTCCTCCTACCATCTGCTTACAGTCTTTCCTTTGCGTCCCGCTGCTGTAGGATAAAGATCCCAATCTTAACAGGCCCTTCGACAGAGCTCCTCAAAACTCGCCGTGCACTCGCACCCTGGGGGTCTTGTCAGAAAGCAGGTTCTGTTGGGTGGAGCTGGGGGGCTCGAGTGCAAATTTGTGCGGTGATAGGGTGCCGTGGCCACTGCACTTGGCAGTGAAAACGTCTCCCTGTGGTTAGGGTACCAAGGCCGCTGCCGGCTTCTGGGTGATAGTCGGGACCTTTTCCCAGGTCCCTACGCTGTACCGAGCCGTAGCATGAAGTGCTGGGTACTTTTGTCTGAGCTTGTGGACCCTCCCAAGCCCCCTGCAGGGCACGTGCTGGCATTTCCATTTCACAGGAGGCCCAGAGAGGGTGAGGGCCACGACCAAGACCCCTCGGGGACCTGAGCGGGCAGGGCTGCCTTTCCGACAGGATGGGAGTAAAGGCCATGCTCTCAGCGCCGTTTTGGTTTTGTCGGACATGCATGGAACCTTCTCTGCCCCTCCCAGGGGCGTCCTATGGGGCGTCTCCCCGTAGCTCTCCAGGGGGCTTAGCCCACCCAGTGCCGGGACCTGGATCCGCCCCGGGGCCTCCCGCCCTGAGAGAAGGCGCCAGGCCAGGTGCGAGCTGCCTGGAATGGCGGTGACACCACCTCTGCTTTGAGGTCTGACGCCCTCCCGCCTGTCTGTCCCCACAGGCTGTTTCCACGGTGGTGTCATCAGAGCTGAGGGGGCCGTGTTTTCCCCTCCCACGGAGAATTGCACCGTCTGCGTCTGCCTGGTGAGTGTGCATCTGTCTGCCTGGTGAGTGTGCATCTGTCTGCCTGGTGAGTGTGCATCCGTCTGCCTGGTGAGTGTGCGTCCGTCTGCCTGGTGAGTGTGCGTCTGCCTGGTGAGTGTGCGTCCGTCTGCCTGGTGAGTGTGCGTCTGCCTGGTGAGTGTGCGTCCGTCTGCCTGGTGAGTGTGCGTCTGCCTGGTGAGTGTGCGTCCGTCTGCCTGGTGAGTGTGCGTCTGCCTGGTGAGTGTGCGTCCGTCTGCCTGGTGAGTGTGCGTCTGCCTGGTGAGTGTGCGTCCGTCTGCCTGGTGAGTGTGCGTCTGCCTGGTGAGTGTGCGTCTGCCTGGTGAGCTCACAAGATCCGGAGCCTCGGAGCCTCCGGGCTGTTGCTTAATGTTGGGGCTTGGAGGCGGGAAGAGGGTGTTGGAGGTGAGCTCGGACGGAGGGAGAGTTGGAGGGAGCGTGCCCAGGCTGGGGATTTTGGTCGGAAGCCGTGGAATTGGAAAGCCTGGGACCTGTGAGGCCTGTAGGTCCGCGGAGCCAGCGAGGCTCAGCCAGGGTCCGTCCGTCCAGCGAGGGGAGGGGCGAGGGCCGGAAACTCCGCACCAGAGAGGCTGTTCTCTCCAGGCAACGCGTTTGCAGTGCAGTGAAGGCAGCCTCGTTCCAGACTCAGCAGGGAGAGCACGATGCTTTCGGCCAAGTCACGCCTCCAGGAATACTTATTAAGCACCTACTGTGTGCCACATGCGGTCACAGGGAGCTGATTCTGAGTGCCCAGTGTGCACCAGGCACGCGTCTAGTGCTTTCACCTTGTTCTCACCTGAGGCTCCCGGCAGCTCTTCAAGGTCAGCTTGACTGGCCCTATTCTACAGACTAGAAGACTGAGGCGGGGAGGGAGCAGAGCTGGGATTTGAGCCAACCAACCCTCACTGCCACTCTCTCACCATCTTTATTTTTATTTATTTTAAAACATATTTTTATAGATTTCAGAGAGAAATATCAGGGATGAGAGAGAATCACTGATCGGCAGCCTCCTGCACACTGGGGATCGAGCCCAGCAACCCGGGCCTGTGCCCTGACCGGGAATCAGACTGTGACCTCCTGGTTCATAGGTTTTTGAAAACCACTGAAACAAAGAATACAGTAATTCTCACGATACCTATGCTTCTCTTCCCATTTCTAATCGTGCACAAATATCAGAATGGACCTTTCTAGGGTACATATAAACAGAAGGCAACTAATTTTAGATATGGACTATTATGAGTTTGTGTCTGATACTGAGATTTATAATAAGAAATATCTATCTATCTATCTATCTATCTATCTATCTATCTATCTATCTATCGGCACAGAGAAGAAATCCTGAAAACTCTTAGAATTTCTTAAGTGACAAGAGAAAGATGTCTTTTATCTATATACTAGAGGCCCAGTGCACATTTATTTTTATTTATTTTAAAAGATATTTTTATAGATTTCAGAGAGAAATATCAGGGATGAGAGAGAATCACTGATCGGCAGCCTCCTGCACACTGGGGATCGAGCCCAGCAACCCGGGCCTGTGCCCTGACCGGGAATCAGACTGTGACCTCCTGGTTCATAGGTTGATGCTCAACCCCTGAGCCACGCCGGCCGGGCATTTTTTCCCCTCTGACCGTGGTTAAAGGCAGCCCGTGGCCTGGCAGTGATGACGAAGCTGCGGTGCACCTGGGGGCGGGGGCACGCAGACACGGCCGCACCCGTCGAGGAGCCCTGTCTGTGCCACATGCGCAGTAGCGAGCGCTGTTGTGGGTGACTCCTCTCACCCAGTCCTCAGCTCCCCCGACAGCTGGGCGATGGACGGGTCGGATGTGAGCGGAGGAGCCAGCCCTGGGGCTTGGGTCTCCGGCTCCAGATCGGGGGCTTTTTGGGTTGAACTTCAAGTGTTGAAGACACGGCTTTAAGTTTGACCCTTTGAGTCGCTAATGTGGGCGTTGGGAGGTGTCCTGGGGGAGGGGCCTCCGCCTCTGCGTCCTGCTGCCCTGGACGGTGTGGGAGGCTGGGGAGGCGTGTTTCCACCGCAGGCAGCACCGCCGGCCCTCCGTCCGGCCTCGCCTCGGAGAGGGAGATGCTCTCACCACCCCAAATACACGCCAGACCCTGGTCCCTCAGGCCCCCCTTGCTCGGACCACGCTGCATTTGAAGGTCTGAGAAGGCCGTTAGGGGGCTCCTGCGTTGGACAGGAAGCCTGGGTGGTGTGACCGGTAGGGACTGGCCGGTCCCTGATGGGCCTGCGGGGCCCCAGAGCCTGGCTTGCCTCTCCCCGCCCCCCACCCGCCGCCTCTCACCTCCTCAGGCTGGAAATGTGTCCTGCGTCTCCCCCGAGTGTCCTCCCGGCCCTTGTGAGACCTCCCCGGAGCCGGACTGCTGCACCTGTGCTCCAGGTGAGGGACGGGGTGGGGTGGGTGGGAGCATGTAGCTTTTTAGGGTGTTCTGGGGAGGGGCGAGGTGAGTGGAAGGGTTGATTTCCGCTTAGACACACAGATCAAGGGAAGCATTTCAAACTGCCCATTTTAGTGGAGCACCTACTGTGTGCTCAGTGGTTTGGAAGCTAGACTGGGCCCGGAGGCACCTCCGACACAGGCAGGAAGGGTGGCGCCCACTCTGGCTTTGCTGTCTCGCGACGGAGAGGGGCCTCGACTTCCCCACTGCTAAGCTGGTCCTTTCTTAAAAGCTTGGTTCTGTTTCCCGGGGTGACCTCATCGCCGTCACACACCTTCCCTGCTGCTCAGTGCCGTCGCCGTGCAGGCACTTGCCAGACCTTGATCTCACTGCTCCGTGGGGCACTGCCCTGAGGGAGCCACCTTCGTAGCTCCATTTCACAGATGAGGAAACTGAGGCTCAGAGAGCTCAAGGCACTGCCGGAGGCACACCAGTGAGTGCAGGCGCGAGCTGAACTCAAGCCTACCCATTTCAGAGTCGGCATCCTCTTAAAGTACTTGTTCTTAACCTTTAAATGTCAGATGTTACTTCTAATTGAAACCTTCTTTTGAATAGGCGATGTACTCTCAGGAGCTAGGAACTATTAGCAACCCCACTGAACGGACGGAAAGAGGGAGGCTCGATGAGCTTGCATGTTGTGTCCAAAGCCACTCCCTGTGGGTCGTGTGGGTGGGATTTGAACCCAGGGCAGCCTGACTAGTGCAGCTGGGCCTGGGCGGGTTGGAGGCTGCTGATGCCTGTGGGGGGTCTTCGGGTGAGAGGCTCTCCCCGAGTCCTGCCCGCGCCCCCGGAGGGCGAGGTGCCCAGAGCTGTCTCCGTGTCTGGCCAGTCTCTTCCATTCTTTTCTCTTCCTCTTGAGTTCTGGGCTTCCCTGGCCCTTTCGGTTAAGGATGTTTTTACTCGTGGTTCATTCTCTGTTATTGTTTAAGTTTTAGCATATTCTGGGCTTCCCTCTATCTGTCTATTTATCTGTCTGTCTATCTATCTATCTATCTATCTATATATCTATCTATCTATATTGATTTCAGAGAGGAAGGGAGAGGAAGAGATAGAAACATCAGTGATGAGAATCATTGACCGGCTGCCTCCTGCAGCCCCCACTGGGGATGGAGCCCACAGCCCAGGCCTGTGCCCTGCCTGGGAATTGAGCCCTGACCTCCTGGTTCATAGGTCAACGCTCAGCCGCTGAGCCAGAGGGGAGAAGTGGGTGGGGTTCGTGGGCGGGGGCTGTGCGGTGGCGTGTTGCGGGAGTGTCAGCTTCCCTGGCCCCCTCCCACTGCTCCCCTTTTTCCTCAGCTGCCCCCACCCAGAGACCTTGAGCCGCTTCTCCCCTTTCTCTCCGCAGGGAGGTGCTACTTCCATGGCCGGTGGTATGCAGACGGGGCCGCGTTCAGTGGGGATGGTGACGAGTGTACCACCTGTGTCTGCCAGGTAGGGCTGACGTGGTGGGTGACGGGGCGGAGCCTCGGCCAGGAGGAGAGATGCCAGCATGCAGAGAAAGGGAGACTGAGGCAGCAGGGGGCTGAGGGATCTCCCCTCACCAAGGCCTTCCGCAGGCTCCTGGAAGCTCGTCCTCCGGCAGGGCTATCTGTAGGGCACCTACTGTGTGCCCGGAGCAAAGCTGAGCTCTGGGGACACAGCCGGGCACAGGCAGCCCGGGAACTGCAGGCTCCAGGAAGCCTTCTGGGAGGGGGGATGCTAAGGCGAGACTAGGGGTGACTCGCACCAATCAGGCGAGAGCACGGCCTCTACACCCTGGCTGCTCAGGCGGGAGAGGAGGCTGCAGGAGGGAGGAGGCTGCAGAAGAGAGGAGGCTGCAGGAGAGAGGAGACTGCAGGAGGGAGGAGGCTGCAGAAGAGAGGAGGCTGCAGGAGAGAGGAGGCTGCAGGAGGGAGGAGGCTGCAGAAGAGAGGAAGCTGCAGGAGGGAGGAGGCTGCAGGAGGGAGGAGGCTGCAGGAGAGAGGCGGCGGGGGGGGGGAGGGGGCGGGGGGGGGGGGGACTAGGGGTGACTCGCACCAATCAGGCGAGAGCACGGCCTCTACACCCTGGCTGCTCAGGCGGGAGAGGAGGCTGCAGGAGGGAGGAGGCTGCAGAAGAGAGGAGGCTGCAGGAGAGAGGAGACTGCAGGAGGGAGGAGGCTGCAGAAGAGAGGAGGCTGCAGGAGGGAGGAGGCTGCAGGAGAGAGGAGGCTGCAGGAGAGAGGAGGCTGCAGGCGGGAGGAGGCTGCAGGTGGGATTGTGTTGGGCTGGGCCTGGGTCAGGATTGTAGGTGATGTTCTGAGGGAGCTCCAAGGAGGAGAACAGGTGAGGGGAGCAGGACGGGCAGGGAGGGAGCCAAGTGCAGGCGGGCCAGGCTGGGGCTGGTGCCCTAGGGCCGGAGTGCATTCCCCGCAGCGACGGGCGTGTCAGAGGCCGGAGCAGCAGTGCTTGTGTATGCTCCCTGGCTCCCCTGGGAGTCGGGGGCAAAGGAGCCATTGGCACCTGGAACACCTGGTGCCCATTGGCCAAGGGCAGTGCCCAGGGGAAGGAGCCTGGCAGGGCCGGAGGGGGAGTGGTTTGACAGTCTCGGTCTCGGACTCAGTCCTGAGAGGCTCTGCCAGCCGGGCTAGGGCTTGGGGCTTGGGGCGCTGCTGGCGGTTTAAGTGGTGGCCCGAGTGCATCAGGTTGGTGGATGGGAAGTTGTCTGGCCGCAGAGCGAGAGCAGGAGGCAGGGAGCCTGAGGGACGCTGCTTTGCGGAGCGAGGGGAAGGGCTGTGGCCCCGCGGGCAGGGGACCGTCCAGACCAGCAGCTGGCACATCCCCAGGACCCGCCAGCCTCTGCCCAGGCCCACCCGCCCCCCAAGGACTCGCCCTGCCTACCTCTTGCTCCCTGGAGATGTCTGTCGCTATTAGGAGGGGCGGGCAGCCCCCTTTTCAGCCCTCCCCTGGCCCAGGGCGGGAGCTGCCCTCACGCCCGTGCCCTCTGGCTCTCTCCCAGGATGGGGAAGTGGAATGTGCCTTCACACCGTGCCCAGAGCTGGACTGCCCCCGCCAGGAGTGGTGGCTGGGCCCTGGGCAGTGCTGCTTCACGCCGGGAGCC